CTCTTTATGTTATTAATGTTCTTTTTTTTTGCATATATGTTATATTGTTTAAGTTGTAATTTTTTTAAACTACCAAAAAAAAAAATATTTAAAAATATTCTATTTATTATATTATTATCACAAATGATTATATTATTGAAAATGTATTTAAGCTTGTAAATTTGATCTTCATAAAAATCATTTTGCCCTAGTTTAATATCTCCAATTTTTATAGAAAAAATATGTGTTAGTATGAAACAAACAAATATGCTGTTCCTACTACTAATTTTTCATACGCCCTTCTCTGTGTCAAGATTCATTATGTCCATATTAATTCAATTATTTCGCTCAAAAAAATTTGTCGGGAATGTTTATTCACATTATGATCACTTATTTTTTTTTTGCTTGTGCTTTGAGCTACCATCTATATTTTCATTGGTACCATCCATATTTTCATTGGTTATTTTCTTTCTTTTTTTCCTCTTTATTTTTTGGACTGATATTTGCATGCCAATTAATCAAAATTGTCATCTGCTTCCGCAACAGATATAATTGCTTGTATATTAGTGTTTTTTTCCCTTTTCCTGATATAAAAAACAAAGCTCTATATTAATAACAACTTGTACGTGTTAAGACAGAAATCGATATAACAGGTTTTGATGTTTTAAGGAAGTTGTTTCCAACGAAATATAAATGCGTATTGGGTAATGTTGCTCGCCTCTGTGACTTTGGCTCACAGGTGCCCACTGGGTAACGATAAATGAGCAACACTTCCGACATCTTCTAAGGCGAAGAACGAAAGTTCAGTGCCTGCCATTATTTTAAAAAAATAAAATAAATAATAATAATAAATGCAGCTCTACGTCTATTCTTTCATACTAATTGAAATACTTCTTGAAAATAGCCTCAAGAAACCACCTTTTGAAGGCATGCGCCCAAGCTTACGAAATTTCTGAGATTCATACTTGCAAATTTAAATAAGAACGGAATTCAACTCTGTAATTTAAATAAGAATGGAAAATTCCATTTTGTTACAATTATTTTGCAACTAATAAAATGTAAACAACTGCAGTTCTTTTTTGCCTAATCGTGTACTGTAGCGCAGGGCTGCCGTTGGCAATTAAAAAGGCCGTTAAAACATTTATTTATACAAAAAGATACTAAGGCAACCAAATTTGCAATTCATTCTTTTCTCTTATTTGAAGTTATAAAATAAGGTAGTGGCTGAGGGAAGACCCCCTATATTGGCTTCTTCATTGTAAAGGTAATTTTCCTCATGTAAATAGTACTAGATTGTCATAAAAAAATCCATTCTGTTCTACTGGCTTCTAAGCGATGACAGTGTCATAATTACAAATTCTGAGCATTCTGAAGAACACACAATCTTCAAGCAGCAATAGCAGCAATTCTTATTTATTAAGCTTTATGCACTCCAGTTCTAAGAGTGACTCAGAAAATTATCATATAATCTTGGCACATTTTAAATAGTTTTTGTAGAAAAATTGCGATCAAAATCCCAATTCTTGTCAGTCTTACTGTTATTTCAAAATGATTGCAATGTTTTCATAAAATTGCAAGGGAAGGAAGATGGCCACCTCATTTAAAATTTAATTCATTTAAATTTAAAATCGGAAATTCATTTGTTCGATGATATGATGTAGTGAAAATTTATGTTTTGAGCAATATTCAAATGTAATAAAAAAAGCAAGTATAAATTTTAGCTAATTGAAATCTAAGTTATTAACTACATGCTAAGGGAAAATTCTTTTTAGTCCCACAACAAAACTTTATTTTATTTATAATCTCCGATATCACAATGTTCTTTCGAAGCCACCTGACTTTTATGATTCTATGGTTGATTCCCCCTATGCACCTAGGGGAAAAAAAGCCTGCCACATAGCTGCCAACCCTTCTGCATTTTGCAGAAGCTTTCTGCATTTTTACTTATTTTAGCTATTTTTTCCTCTTTTATGCACAGAAGATAAGATCTTCTGCATTTTACCCATCTGCCTGATAGCTAGTATTTTCTTTAAGTCAGACGTCGCTGTTCCTCTTGTAACAGCGTTTGGCAGGGCCGTAACTACATTTTTAATCGAATATTGTACCATCAAGTAGCTGCTCGAAAGTTTTTTTAAAATATATTTGCTTTTTTTTGCTAATATTAAGTGGATTTATAAATAAATAATTAATTAAAATCCGCTTCTTTTATAAATTTATTGGTAATTAGTATGTGCTTGCGAATCTTCTGCATTTTTAGGCATTTCTTCTGCATTTTTTTTGTCTATCTTCTACATTTTTATAACTAGAGGTTTGCCACAATTCAAGCACCACCTTGAAATCTGAGGCATTTAAGGCACTTCAGAATGAAAAGAGTGAAAAGAACAGAGTAATAAGAAAAATAAATGTAGAAAATTTATGTACTGTGCACAAACTAAAAAAAAGTCCACCCTGAATAACTTTTGATCTAGTTATTGGATCTTCATGTTCTAGGATTCAATCATGTGAATTCAGACTAAAACTAATTAACTATAAACTAATTAATGCAGTTACTAATTAGTTATGAAATCAGACACAAAAACATAATTTCTCTGAATAAAAATACCTCTTTTTTAGGTGGATTCAGATTTGGGACCCCCACGATATGGGGGGTAGCCGCAATCTGGGAAGTGTGGTCCCTATAGTTTGATCAGGAGAGAGATTCAAAGCGTTAATTTTATTTTTATTCGCCATATCTTAAGAGCTCTTTAAGCGAATTGAAATATTTCTGCACACAATTATGAAATTTGTTTCCCCAAGTACAATTCATTGCAAAGAATAGCTTTCTATAAATATTTTATTTTTTATGACTTTTTAAATAATAATTGAAAGATTTTGAATTGCAAGGTTTAAAACTTTTTACACCATCTGAAGGAAAGCAATTTTACATGGTAAAATACAAAATTTGTGTGAAATTGGTCGAATACTTTCTGAAAAATCAAATTTTAAAGAAGCCGAAATTTTACACTTCAATTCCTCAGGAACTATTCGATTGATTTTGCTCAAATTTCGTATTTTACCTCGCAAAATTATTTTTTCTAAAATGGTGTAAGAAATTATATACCTTGGGGATTCAAAATTTTTTCGACCATTGTTAAATGAAATAATAAAAAGTAATAAATTTTAAAAAAAAGTTATATTTTGCATGGAATTATCTTCGGAAAACAAATTTTATAATTGTGTGCAAAAATGTTTCAACTCGGTTAAAAAATTCTTGAGATAGGCGAAATGTGCAAAAGAAAAATAAATTTAGCAATAAATGGTGCAAACTTTGGACCGCTCTTCTGACCAAGCTATGGGGACTATATATTGTGGCACCCACTATATTTGGAGGGTCAAAAAATCCAAATTCATCAAGAGAAAAAAGTTGTGTTAATTCAGAGAAAGTATTATGTTTTTCTTCTGAGTTTGTAACTTAAAGTATCTGTGCTAATTAATTAGCATTTCAAGGGTCACCCCCTCAATTAATTTAGATTGAGTACTGGAATGTAAAGATCCAATCATTACATTTAAGTTATGCAGGGAAGTCCGGTTTTTATTTTTCGCTCTGTCTAATATAAAATTTAAATGTATTATAGTTCATGGTCTAACCTGATTTTAGAAAAACCTTTTTAATATTTTTTCTCTGATATATAGAATACTTTTGATTGATGAAAAATAATAAAGCTTTTATTTTATTTGCTTTGAAAATTTTAGGTCTAATTCACCAACGAACAAGAAAAAAATTAGAAAAAGGTCATCTAGTAGTAGATCACCATCAAGAGACAGGTTTGCCATTAACCCTATATTAAAGATTATTTTTAATTTTAAAAAAGTTATAGATTTTCTATGTCGTTTGTGTATGGGCCTGTATATTTTGTTCGTTGAAACTTAACGTGGACTGTTTATTTTCAGATCAATTTCACATTCACCTGCGAGCCGCAAAAGATGAGGCTGTCTTGAAAGTTAATGTTTGAACCTTCACTTTGAGGAAAAGCAAAAGTAATGGACGATACTACAAGTGCTCTTCAGTACCAAAAATAAATTGCATGTGCGTTCCTTCCTTTATTTAATTATACTTATTCTATTAGATGTTTTTCTCTCCTCCCTTTTTATTTTTCCTCTCCATTTTAGCATAGGTTAAGTAATCATATACAACTTAAATGATCTTCCAATCTCTGAAGCTATTCAATTTTTGAAAAAAAATTCAGTGCTATCAAGTTCAATTTTGATGCCATTATATGTGTCACTCTGCAAGATTAGAAATCATTGCTTTTAAGCAATGAATCTGTAAACAAGCTAATAAATTATTATAACTCAAATAGTGTATTTATTTATTTTTCATAACTTCTTGCTCTTATACATATTTCTTGTTAGAGTGATAAAAAAAATGACATTTTAGCATTAAAAATATTAAAATTTTTCCATTACGAGGATACAAAAATAAAATAAACGTTTTTTAAAATTTTATTTCCTATGAGCTGCACGATCAGTCTTCCCGATGAGCAGACCTAGTGCATTCTCCTGAAGTGGTATCCACTCTTTCAAGACCGCTACACTGGGTGAGATAGCGTTGGCCATGACAATTTGCATGTCTAGTTTCTGCCACACTAGATGGCAGCACCGAGACTATATTTGGATGCTCTAAGAGCAAGAGCCAATAAGGCACTCCAGGGATCTTTTACATGCCGCATAATCATACGACATGGCCGCTGAGGATTTTCTGCATCCCAAAAATCCGGTGTCTAGGCCGGGGATCGAACCCGCAGACTTGGGTTCAGAAGGCCGACGACTGCGCCACCCAGCCACATAAAATAAACATTTAATTGGACAATTTATCGCAGCATGTTGCATACATTTTCATCAAAGCAGTACAAACTCATTTTGGAAGATATTCTATCTTGATATCTTAAACTGAAAAATTATGTTCTTAAAAATTTTTAAAAGCATGTTTTATATAGACTATCAAGAAACTTGTAACATTTATTTATGAATTTATTGAAAAACAGGTAATAATTTAATTTAGTTTGTGAATAAAAATAAAATATAAATTAATACCTGGTAGAGATATCTAAGCAATTTTTAAGTTTAGTTGCAATTTTTCAAGAATGTTCAAATTGTATTGTATTATCACATGCTTTTTAATACTCTTAAAATTGAAAGATAATTTCCAAAAGCAAATTGTTATATTTTGAAAATACTCTTTTTAACATTAACACTTGTTGCTGAGAGATATTTAAAACAAGATGCACTTCACAATTTATACTAATTTATAAGGAAAAAATTTACTCACAATCAAATTCCATTGAAAAATGAAAAAATATTATTCAAGATATGTAAAACTTACCAATATATATATTTTACAATTCAGTATGTAAAGCAAAGTGAAAGATTATTAAAAGTTTGGAAGTAAAAGAAATAAGATATATAATTCCAAGTCACAACGGCACCAAGCTGCTAATGTTATAACTGCAAAAAATATTTGAAGAAAATTTAAATCTAAATCAATTACCCAACCTCACAGGAGGAACAATACAACTAACATTTGTTTTTCGGTGTGTTCCATTTCTGTTCTTTATTTTGTGGATATTTACTATTGTGTAGTGTTTTAATGTTGGTTGAATTATTCCCGCTATATATATACACATTTAAATTTTTTGGATTTGGGTATTGTAAAAGAAGAAAATATCTGCTTTGTTAATCTATACACTAAAAGAAATTATTTTAATTTTAAAAAAAAGAAAAACAAGTTTCTTGGCATCCTAATGTTTCTAAATCCATCTATTTAAACATAATTTTCAATGAAATGAATAGGATTAAAATATGTAGTAATGTTTTTTATCCAAAAAACAGACAAACTCTTAAAATTTGGTAAAAAGCAATGGATACCTAAATAAAGTAATTAAATTCTATAAAAAAATCATTGAGCTGATTGTTTGTTATTATAAATAATGTTACTAAAAATTATAATATAACTAATAAGTAATTTTGTAAAAATAAGCCGCTATCTCTTAAAAACATTCCCTTTTTATTCATATTCCATATAAAAAAAATTTAATTCACTGTTTAAATAATAATTACACGCTTTTAAAATTATCTGTATTTATTGGTTTAATTCTGATTACCATTGCAAAGATTTACTTTGTTATGATTATTCTCGACTGGTTAAATTTTTATAAATTTCTCTTCTTTCAGCAGAGGGGGTTTATTAAAAAATTTTGTTTAGTGATTTTAAAATAATTTTTTGACTAAATACTTAAAAAAAAAAATTCATCTTAAATTTTTAATTTTTTTTAATTAGTATTTTCAGTTTAAATTATAGAAAAAAACTTTCAAGCTGTTTATCAATTCTATATATATATTTTTTAGTTTACTTTTTTTCTTTTTGAAAAATTATTCACAGAGATTTTCTTTTAGCTGCCTTTAATTTTTATAAACTACAATTTTTCCTTTATCTTGACAATGAGTGAGAATTACTTTTTGAAATATACACATTATATAGTATAAGAGTGTAATTTTAAAATTGTTGAGAATCAAATTCTGTTATTACATAATATTACACATTTTGATAAATTTTTGTGGCGTTAAGTAAGTGCCCTTTTTTGAGAGAAAGTACCCTGCCCTTTTTTATTCCTAGTCAGAACTCAGGATTTATCACAATTTCTTGCATTTCTATGAAATACATCTATTATAAAGACGAAAATCATGCATTGTCTACAAAAGCTAATTAATTAGTGATTAGTCAAATATTACGGAAGCACCTAAGTTTGGAGTGGATTGTGATTTGCTTATTGTTACTTACAAGGGGGCAGAAGCGTATGAGCAATGCTTGTGTAGGACACTACAAATGAAGGAGATTTTCAATTTTTCTTAAATGCGAAGAAGTTCTACATCGAAATAAATGTTTGGCCAGCATATAAAGCCATTCTAGGACCTATTATTACAAAACTTATGCGCGTCAATCTTGGTCAAATATCGAAAGCCATTCTAGGATCATTGTCTAGAAATATATAAGGCCATTACAGGCTTGTCATNTTTTGTACTATTAATGAATCTAAGTCTGCTCTAGTTTGCTTCCTCCACCATAACCTATCGTCGTGCTGGTCAAAGTTAAATCAAGATTATTTTTTTTAAAAAAAGAAAGAAATTATAGTGCTAGAGCACAAAATAAGTAATGGTGAAGTGAAAAACAGGGATACAATGGTTTCAGGTTGTTCAGTAATAGTTGTTAAAAAATATACAATGTTGGCTGTTATTTTCGTTTTGTTTATAATAAACAGAAAATAAAAAATATAATAAACAGAAAATAAAAAATAATCAAATCTTTGATTTAATATGTAGGCTAATATCAAGGAAAGGTAAATTTTGGTGTCAGTGTGCTATAAATTTCTAAAAGTTTGGTAAACAACGCTAGACAGTATTATTTGGTCAAAAAATGAGTTCAGTCTTAAAATTTTTTTAGAGTGGCACCCCTGCATTACAGGCTTGTCATTAAGGACCATTTTGCTTTTTACAAAACCATTCTGATTTTATTTAAGTTTAGCAGCCTATACTGAGCACTAAAAAGAGAGAGAAAGAGCCTTATAACGTGAATAATCTTTGTTCCGATGATTGGATTTATGAAAACTAAAAAGTGTTAATCTTAACATCGCAAATGGGTGAACTCGAGTGATAACTAATTAGTGCTAACTGTTGACTAATATATATATTTTTATTGCGTTACAGAATCGGACATAACACACTCCCTCTGAACTTTTTCCAATATTTTGGTGAAGTGATTAAAAGCTTTCATCAATTTTTAATTATTGTGTTTTCTTTTCACTTTTTCAAATTAACTTCCTTAAATTGCCAAACAAGCAAAAAATACAGACAATTAAACACAAAATTTATCTTACTTAATTATTAACATTTATCTTTACTAAGATTCAGCATTCTTGAAAAATGAGGGATTACTTAAACACAAAAACATATAATTAATTTATAAGTATATAATATACATACGTAATAAAGTGCATAAGTTAAAAGGTTGTAAACGTTTAATTTACTTACCACTACATACCTTGATGTTATAGCAATTTTCTCTGACACCTGAAATCTTCATGCAGAACATCTGAATTGTGTAATGCAGTGGATTAAAGAAGCGGAACTTACCATGAAACCTTCAAAATGCCGTTATGCTCTGGATCATGTTCTTTATCTAGGACATATTGTCGGACTAGATTATGGAAAACCCTCTGATATAAAAATACGAGCAGTTGCTGACTTTCCTGTGCTTAAGACAAAATCTGAGATTTTAGGACTAGCAGGCTATTATAGTCGATATATACCAATGTTCGCTGTTCTAATTTTGCCATTATTAACTGACACATTCAAAGGCAGAACAAAAAAGGGAGAAATTAACTGGACTCCTGAATGCGAAGAAGAATTTAAGAAACTAAAACAAAAATTAAAAAGCCAACCTTATATACTCTTCTCTCCCAATTATGAAAAAAAAAAATAATAATATCTTGCAAACAAACGCTTCCGAAATTAGTATGGGTGTAGTATTAACACAACTAGATAGTGAAGTCCATGAACATTCCTTAGTATATCTGAGTAAAAAGTTTAATAAATCCGAAAAAAAAAAATTATTGTACTACGGAAAAAGAATGTGCCGGCATAATTTTTGCCGTCAAAAAATTACGACACTATTTGGCTGGGCAAAAGTTTACTATTTAGGCATATCATCACCTGCTAACCTGGCTTAAAACAAATGCTAGTTTAAATGCCAGATTTATGCACTGGGTTTTGGCACTACAACCGTATTTTAAAATGGTGCATGCAGCTGGCACTAAGAACAAGAATGCAGATGGTCTTAGTAGACTATCTTTGAGTTCTTGATTAGAATTTGACAAAAGTTAATAGATGGAAGGTATATGTAAATAATCTTATTTTTTTTCCTTGTGTATGATTTAATTTGAAAAAAAAAGTGAACTCGTAAAAAAATTAGTTTTTAATTGAAGTTTAACACGTCAAAATTTAATTTGAGAAAGTGTTTAAAATGATTATACTTGAAAATGAAACATAGGTGTTAAACGAGTTTTATTGTAGAGAAAAGTGCTACTGTTCTTAAACTGTTATTATTTTTTTTAAGCTATGCATATAAATATTAATAAGATTGGGTTTGGATCTAATCATGTGAAGTTTAAAAGTGTTAAGTATTTTGTTTTGTTTTAAAACTAGTATCATCAAGATAAAAATAACCATTTTGATGAAAAAAAAGATCTAGTTAGCTTCAGTCTTTAGATATTGTCGTATATATGACAATAGTTATATTTCTTTG